TTTTTCCGGACCCCTCAAAGCACATGCACCACTCTGTGGAGACCACAAATCCCCTCATTGCTATTGAGTTAATTGTTGACCGTAGACTATCCTGCACCCACCTAAGTAAAAGAAGTGTGTCTATCATTTTACTTTTTATCCAATCCCCAGGTTTCTCTGCTTTGCTTTCTCCCGCCTCCCTAATCTATCACCAGTGGGTTTCATGTAACCCACTTATGTCTCCTCTTTGGATTGTAATGGATAAAACAAGGTGCAAAACCGCCATTCTCCAGAGCATTATTCTAAGCATGTGTCAACAGTTTGTCTCAAGTACACTCACAAAAATCCTTCCACAGGTTTGAATGTTTCCTACGTTAACATTACAAATGGGAATGGGTGTTACCCTGGGCAAATACCCACTGGCCTCCCCTGTGACCTCCACATCACAAACAGATAAGAACTGGTTTAAGACTTAGTCCAGGTAGATCTAAGAGGACAGAGCTATGGCAAATGGCAGCTGTTAGAAAAACTCAGACAGTGCAGTGAGCTGTGAGGTGATGGACTACCTGGTGGAGAAAACGATTCTTTCAGCTCCATAGTTCAGCAAGCTTCAGCTTTTTCCCCCTGTTAAATGTTCATACTATCTACTTCATATGGCTGCTGTGAGCATGGTAGGAGATAAAGTACATAAAAGTGCCTGGCACTGAATAGATGTTCAGTCTATATTAGTTGAATATGAATCTATGAAATGGAGAAATCCCAGTCCAGCCTCCAAGGAAGTACCAACCTCGGCCACTAGAGGGGAATCTCAGTCACACGCCTTTGAGCGAGAGTTAGACGCAGCATGAGGTGGCAGGCGCCCCTATGCAGGGGCGTTTGCTAAGCCAGGAAACTCACCCCCACTCAGGAAACCTGGCTCCCTGCTGAACTCCGTGGTGTTTTTCTGAGTCACTATATTCCCCTGAAGTTGCAAAATGGTCTGGCAAAAGTCCCTCAAAGCCTTTTACTGCTTCCTGAGTAACATCTAAACTTGCCAGAATCCAAGGCTTCCTCAATCTGGCCCCAACCTACCTCTCCAGCCTCAACTCCCTTAATCCTTTACACTGCAGCCGCACTGGACAAATCATGCTCCTGCCTCTATGCCGGGACTCATGCTGTTCCTTCTTCTTGATGCCTTTCCTCTATCCTCACCTTCTGAAGCCCTACTTCTTTTTCAATGACGCAAATGCCACCTCCTCTGTTACTCCCTCCTCACTTCTCTAGAAAGAGTGATCTCACCCACCCCCGGTTCACACACCATATATCACATCCATCTATCTAGCATTAAATTGATTTATGTATGTGCGTCTTTTCAAGAGAAAGTCCACGCATGAGTAGAGAGGCCAGTGGGTAATCTACCTGGGGTGACACAGTAAGTAGCAAAGATGGGATTCTAACCTGGGCAATCTAGCTTGAGAGAGTTCTTACTCTTAACCACTAATTGACACTGTACAGTAATCTTTCATCAGCCACAATGCCTCGCTCAGAGTTTTGTACACAGTGCCATTCAACAGCTTATCAAATGAGTAACTTTTTAAAACATTGATCTAATTAGGACCTCTTGAAAACCTTCACTGACTTGTGGGCTATTGGGAACCAGCAACTTGGTCTCATTAATCTGAATTAGAGTGCCTGGCCATAGATCTAATTATGAGCAATTTCAGAATCATAATTACTGTTCCACTTTCTCTCTTGATCTATAACACATACAAGGACCTCCTCCCAGCTTCTAAGGGAGAAAAAAAGTGATTGCTTACTGAGCCCTAGCAAATGTGGTTTTTTGAAGCTTCCAGCTCACATCTTCACTGCGAAGTCAAGGGGCTGGACTGGATAGTGTCTGAGGGCCCTTTCTTCAGTTGTAACAGTCTGTGTCTCTGGGAGGCAAAATGGAATTAAAAAGAGCCTCTACCTCTGCGTCAGGAGATATCACTTTGGGTCTCAGCTCCCCAACTCTCAGATACCCCATCTGTAAAACCTGACTCATCCATTCAAAAACACTTGAGTAGAAGTGCCAGGCACTGTACAGTACTGAACAAGACAGGCATGACCCCGTTCATAGAGCTAAGAAAATAAGGTGACACCTTAGACTGTGGGGTTGTCCAAAGAAAGAAATTGAAGTGGTGAAATAATCGTGTGAACTATAAAGTCTTGTACAGAATCAAAAGATAATGACCTTAAGGGGAGTGGGGGGAGGTAGAAGAGGGTGTGGTGACGGAAGTAGACTTGATTTGGGGTGTGAACACGCAGTATTATATACAGATTATGTATGTTATAGAATTGTACACCTGAAACAAATATAATTTTATTAACCAATATCACCCCAATAAATTCAATTAAAAAGTTTTAAAAAAAAAGCCCTAGCAGGTTTGGCTCAGTGGGCAGAGTGTCTCTCTCACATCCACCTTTCTCTCCCTTCCTCTCTCTGAAAAGCAATGGAAAAAATATATCCTTGGGTGGGGATTAAAAAACAAACAAAAATGAAGACCACCTTGACAGGATTCCAGTTTTGAGAAACTCAGTGACAACAAAAATGTTACCTATGTTGCTGTTTTTGAGAAAAGCCTTATGTATATTTTAAGCAAACCCCGCCGGCACTGCAGGCAGCCTTCCCCCTCGGTGCTGTGGAGGGAGCCGGGGTTCAGTCCCCTGCACGTCCGCCGGCAGGGGCCGGGGCCCCACCCGCTCACGAAGGCCTGGGTCTGAACGCCATCAGGCCCGGAGCCCGGACCCCTGGCTTCTCCAGCCCTCAGCTGTCCGTGACCCCAAGTCATCAGCCCCCGCTCGGCTCCAGTTCCCTCGCCCGAGCGAGGCGGCACCTCAGTAAGGAAGCCATGCCCCGCGGCTACTGTGAGGCGCGGCCGGGCTCGGGCCGTCGTTCCGAGGCTGGCTCGGGGGGCCAACTCTGGAGCGCTGCTGAGGGGTCGCTGAAGCGTCCCTCTCCGCCCCAGGCGCTCCTCCGGCTGCGGCGGCTCCGCCGGGCGACCCGGTCCCGGCCCCAGCTCCAGCACGCACCAGCTGGGTGGCTGCGGGTGCGGTCACCGGGCCGCCCTACCGGCCGTTCTGCATCGGGCGGGAAGCTCTAGACCTTTACAAGCCGGCCCTG